TTTTTTTATTCTGCAAAATATATAATTTAGTCTCATTTGACAACTGAAGCTTTGAGCTGGCTTCTCAAAACATGTTCATGTTGCTAAGTTGAGAAAAGACAAAGTTATGAGCGCTCAAGTTGACGAATCTCTATAACTAAACATACACATTCTGTAATTTTTCTGCCAAACACCGTAATATTCTTATGTAAAAATGTACAGTTTATTAAACTGCAAGCGACGAGCTTTCGAATGGCGCCAACTGTGTGAAAATACACACAACAATTAATCAACAATTCGCTTTGCAGGTTTATTTGTATGCGTATTTTTTTTTTTTTTTTTTTTTTGAGTTTTTTCGCCAAAACTTATTTGATGGTTCATTGGACGGACAAAAGCTTTGTCAATAATGCGTCTATTTGACGCGCCACATTTAATTTGCTTTCCTTATTTACTGCAACAACAAACACTTGCTGGCAAACAACTCGAAATTTTGCGCATAGTAAACGTCCAGCTGACAGCGTTGCCAACCACACTACACACCCATAACTGTACATAGATACGAGCGCATAATAATTTAGTGTTGCGTCGTCAAACGGCGTGTAAATAGCTGCGTTTGCACTTAATTAATAAAACATTTGCCACTTTTGCGCTACTCCGCCAGTGGGGAGGGGGGTGGACGTAACGGCAAATGAAGTAGTAAATATGCAGGTGGCCAGACAGACGCCTCAAATGCACGCATGCGTGTATATGTGCAGTTGCCGCGTACGAATTTGAGCGACTGCACTGTATTTATGACACTTGTTGCAACATGGCATGCATAGCGCACCGCGTCTGTCGCGTCTGGCGTGTGTGCGTGCGTGCAAAGTGTGTGATTTTATTTTCAACTTAATTTGCATGTTTTTTACTGCTGCTATTTGCTTATTTCGTATTTTGATTATATTTACCAACACTTTTCAACTTCGTTTTATTTCCATGCAACAATCAAGTTGCAAAACGCATTTGTGGCAAACTCGCGTGCACAAGTGACTTTTATATTTATTTTAGAAATATTGTTATGTATTTGTTTTTTTTTTTTTTATTGGTATTTTGCTGGTTTTGCGCATTCTGCCGATGAATTGTAGGCGCAAGGCCTGTTTACTTGCAACTTTTACGATTATATGCAGCAAGTTGCTGTACATTTGTTTTTATGCACACAATTAGTTTGCATGCTCACCGAAAGTATCTCAGCGATACGCAAAAATGTCAACACATTGATTTACACGTATCGGTTTACATGGCGGCGGGTGCATTGCAACATGAAGCAAGTCATTTGTGGCACGCTTTTTCATATGCTGCATGCGCAAAAATTGTCATTAATATTATTATTTTTTGTTTTTTTTTTTTGCTTTGTTAGTGGTGACTTTATAAATTAGCTGTTTGCTTGATAAATTGTTAGTTGCACGCTGTTAGACAACAACAAGCATGTTTTGCGAAATTTAATTGAGTTATTTATTGCAATCAACGATGATTGCAAGCGAAATTGAAATTTTTTATGCGTGCGGATGAGTTTCAAGCGCTTGGTACACTGCAGGCAGACATTTTGAACAAAAAATTAAAGTTTTTAGGTTAGGTTCGATTTTAAGATAAGTCCGATGGCCAGTAAAACGTTCTGATATCATATCCGATTCTCCATAGCCTAACTTTCTTGCACTTCCTTTTTCATAATAACGAAATTCATTCTGAAACGACACACTATCTTTCAAGGCGCGTTCGTGAAACCTTGAGAAAATCCTGAACGCCTGTGAAGTGGCTCCGTTTAACTCTTCGGCCAACTGCATGCTTTCCAACAGCATATAACTTTCAAACATGATATTACAACAAAAATAACGGGTGATATATCGCTAAAATCTGTGATAGGAGCATACAAATTCCAGTTTTTATAGTAAATACGGCTCGTTTACTCAGCCGATAAGATATATATTGTTAAAGAGCAGGAAAAGAACACAATACACTAAAAAACCGCCTAACAATATTTTTACAAAATATTCGCATAATTTTCGTCATTTCCGACCACTATCTCATTTCTTTTACGTAAGCAAATAAAATCATGTGGCAATTAAATGAATTCGGTGTCGAAATCAAACTAGATTAGATTATTTTATAACAAAGTGCAACAACAACAATTAATTATATTTAGAAAACAAAATTAAATAATTGGTTCTGAGCCATTGTGTTTCAGAAATAATGTAAACAATGCCATATTTTTGCTTGACACTCAAGACATTCCTATCAGATTTAGCTGTCATGGCTACTGATCGAGTAGCTGATATTTAATGACGTCCACACTTGGATAAACACTATTTGCAAACTATTATTATCTCAAGTAAAGGGAAGAAAAAATAAATAAAGTATGTGAACGAGTGCAAATATAAAATAAAAATAACTTGGAAAATTTAAAAAAGTTCAAATCGTGTTAGCAATATACAGTAGTGTTCTGATGTATACACTGTGCCTAAAAAGTTAATAAGTCATAAAATACATATCGATTTTATTTTTCGAATAATACTTTTTGAGTATTTGACATATTGCTATTTTTATTAACAAAAATATAGGCATAATACAAATTGTTGCCTACATTTAGGCGCATTTACAAACAGTTTAGCAAAGATACACACCACGGTTGTTAAAAAATAAAAATCAATAATCGACTGGGATATTTTAAGTTTGTAAATTAATTTTTTTTTACTCTTCAGCTCGTAAAAACACAAAAAAAAAAATATTTTGTCAATCACTACTATAAATAATATTAGGCAGATTCTAAAATATTTATAGCTTTAGCTACAGAGTGCAATGTTTCACAGCATAGGTGTTTAAGAGGTTCCACAGCAAGCTACACTGTTTGCTCTTATTTGTATTTGTTTTCTGTTCATTCCAACCGCATCGAGTGGGGTATTGAACTTCGCAGTGTTTTGGTACGATCGCCAACGCCATTGGTAGGCGCACAAAACAAAAGCAGTACGTGTAAAAGTTATATATATATATATATATATATGAAAGCAAAAACAACATTATTAATAAATATCTACTCATAGTAGTATTATAGGAAGCAGAAAGCCATCAAGAGCTCAGGCACAAGAATACGAGAACCTTAACAGCGGCCGCCAACAAGTGAGCCGGCGACCAACGAGCACACTCCAATAAGTGAAGCACTTGAAAAAACACTTGAGATAGATTGATAGGTGACTACCAGGTTCAATACACAGACCATCTACCCAAGCGAGCGCCTAGCAGTCAACCAAGCAACATTTCAAGCAGCGAAGAGCCAAAGCAAGCAGAACACTCACAAGTGTTGAACGCTCGCTGCTTGCGCTTTTGTTATTATTGTTTCAATTTGTATTTAGCCAACTTTTTTTTACATTTTTTATTTTGAAAATTTAGCATTTTGCGCATAGATTGCACCGATGCTTCATTTTGTTGTTGTTTGTTGTGCAGCTTGTTGTTACATGTAGTATGTAGAGTACTTGTGGTGCAGAACAAGAGCAACTTTCAAGATTGTTGCAAGTTCAGTGAGCTTCCAGGCATGCAACGAGTGCTTGCGGCCCTCAACTGTCAGAGACTTGGCTGCTGTACGTTGTGCGCCGCGAAACGCTTGCCACATAAGGCAATGTAAGAGGCGCCTATAGCAGACCGTCGGCTGGTCCGCCAGCCAGTGCCTTTGTCGACCACTACACGGAGCCCAGTGTTGGTGGTGGTAATTAAATTTATGCGCGTCGCTCTAACTACAGTTGGCTTTTTATTTCATATTTTCCAACAATCAGTGAGCTCATATTTCAAAAGAAATGTAGTGTATGGGGAAAATAGCAATACACCCTTTCGGATGACGTTATTTATGTATGTTGCAAAGTCAATGATGGCGAAGACGAAGTCGCTAGCATTACATATTATTATTGTTGCACGTTTGTGCATTTTTCAAGGCGTGCAAATTCCACTTGAGCGCCAAGCTGCTTGATGGCCTGTTGGCTGACGCACTGATTGACTTACTGACTGCTTTGGCGGCCAACATTGGATGCTGGGCTTCAGCGGCTTCTTTGCTGCGGCCGCAATTTACTCTGCTTTGCGCTAGTGCACCCTCGAGTCAGTTAGCAGCGATGCGTCACATTTTAGGTGGAAACTCCTTGAAAGTGAAGTGATTTCATACACCAACTCTCGTTGGTTGGTGTAACCTTTTTACGCTTTGCAGTTAAAGCTTTTGTTTTGCTTTGGCGCAGGTATCCAGTTGAAGTTGGTCGCATTCAGTTCCAGTTTCTATGTTGTTGGTATTTATGTTTGTAGAACCTATTTTCATTAATATTTCTTGTTGGTGCAAAGCTTGACACATTCCCACACCCTCGCATATACATATTGCAACTATTAATTATGAGTTTTGGCATCACATTGTTAACTAATACATACATGTTCTTACATATATTATCACATTCGAGTGTCAGTTCAAGCAGTATATAAATCCACTAAATATCTGTAACAAAAGTCTGGAAATTTCGGAGCCGCTTAAGAATTCTTGAGAATAAGGCTTTTTATGACAACACTTGACTGCGACAAAGCTAGAAAGGACCCGAAATAGAGAGTAAACACTCTAATATCTTCTTTACCAAGCACTGTTAAACGTTTGTCGGGATCTTAAACGAATACTAAATTAGCACAGAATCCTCTCAACTAGAAAATAATTTAGATCTCTCAAACTGAACTTTATGTGGTACTACAAAAATAGTTTCACGCTAGCTCCATCTGTCGGAGCTTTTTAATCTCCATAATCATGTCACCATATAGACTTGAAAAAGTATTACTCAATCAGTAAGAAATTTTATTAAGTTACATTTGTACTGAGATTTAAAAACTATATTTTCCTTATACCTCTGAACAATAAAATCAACTAACGCTATTTAATTTTTTAATATTTTGAAGGTTAGGTATTGAAGCTGCTTTTGAAAATTAATAGACATACTACTTTAATAACGAAAAATACTTGTTTATTCTATTTGCAGAAAATATAACGATAGTCGGCCTCCCGGACTATGTGAACAACAATCTCAAAATAGCACTGTACGCAAAAGAAACACAACGGTATCTGTGTTTCAACGATCAGTGGAAACTAGTTGGAATGGTAAGTTTGTAGCTAAATATATAATAGTAAATGTTTACATAAACTGCTTTTAAAGACTAATTCACAAAGCGTCTAATTTTTCGAAACCTATATATATCTAGTTAACTAAAAATCTTTAGATGTATGTCATATATGCCAAAAGTGATTCTAAATTTCTTACGTAATGTTAAAAAAAAATTACTAGTAGAAGATATTGTTGTTGTATTCAGCTTGTCCGTTTGATTTGGTCAGCTTGTCTACTGCTGACGTCACTTTAGCGTATGACGGAAGTCGCCTTAAGTCTCCTTTAACCATTTATTGTTTGCAAAATCAGAGAAAAAAAATTATTTTCGTTGGTGCTGCGAATTTTACGAATCATTTCTGTTGCAGCCCAAGCTTTTGCCCGCAACAATAACGAAAAGTCTGTAATGTTGCACTGTGGCACAGACTTGTATAATCCAATGTACGTAGACACCGATATACCGTTACATAATTCAGCCGAAAAAGTAAAATAAATAGAAATAAGGTTGCTTATAGCTTTTAGCAAATTAAAAGCCAATTCAATTTTCTTTTATTACTTTTAAGCGCCTTAAGTAAACTCATAAGTCAAGTTGCAACAACATTGTTGTAGATTTTTAGTTGTATTTCCAAACGCTTTGACGCTTTGCGCATTAATTAGAATTTGTGGCAACGCTGACGAAACTGAACAGTGAAACGCCTACACGCATGCGCAGACGGCTGGCGCAATTTTTGCATAAACTTATGTTTATTTGAATATATTTTCTGCATTTAACTAATTGCAATGAATAGATAATATTCAAGTGACAATTTTCGAGTGATAATTCTCATGTGACAATATTCAACTGACAAACGGTAGCTGACAATGGCTAAATGACAATTGGTAGCTGAGTGACAGTTGAATAATTAACTAACTCAACTCGTTTGCAACTTTGTGAATTTGTTTGCGGCTGCTGTGCGATATGCTGCAACAGTGGATAGGCGGGCGTGTCGAGCGCTGCCACAAGTCAAAAAGAATTAAATTTTTATAATTTAAATGGCAAGTAAATGAACAAATGTATGAATAAGCGCGGCTTAAAGCGAATCGATTTGATTGGATTTAGGCGTATGCATGCCATACAGACATACTTATATTTAAATAGACGCGCGTAGACAGTAGTGACAATCATCTTAATATGCTTTGAGCTGTGCTCATTCTGTCTGACATTGATGTTGACAGTTTGAAAAGAAGAAATATGGAAAAGTTGTCTAAAACTCTATGCAAATACATGTATAGAATTTCAAAAACACATGCAACACTTTGCTTGGCATCACACCGTGAAACGCTGACAAGTGACTGCCTGTGGCTGCGTGTACTTGTATGTGTGTGGGTAGGTACCGTTTGTCGAACGCTGCGCGCACGCGTACAATTAGCGCTCATGTAAAGTGTCAAATATTGTCAATACAACAATGCAAATAACTGGAGTACAATAGCAGAAAAGCAGAAAAGCGCAAAAGCTTCATAACGAGTGATGTACAAATAGTGCGCGCAATTGCTGCTGTGTTTATTTGTTTGTTTATTTAGCTAACAGTGTGTGTAGGCGTGCGTGTGCCACATGAAAAAGTGTGCGACGCGCCCAAAACATTCGAAAATTCATTCATCGGCTTGAGATAAGTCAAAAATGCCAAACAAAAATATTTATATATGTATACGTGTATGTATGGGTACAAAAGCGTCATATATCTTTTGTGTTGCTTAACTTTATTAACTCTTTATTGCATTTATTTGCATAGCTTAATTTTATTATGATTACTCGCTGGAGTCATTAGTTGAGTGCTTTTGTAGTAGAGCGGCTCCGGTGGTCGCTTTTCTTTTCAACTTCGTTTGTGATGTCGCTTTATGGCTTTAATCTATTTGAAAGGAAACGCGTGTATTTGCGAAGCTTTGTACAAAAGCCGACGGATATTCAATTGTTTATTGTGTTGTTATTGTCACTGGATTTTGTGGCGTGGAAAATCCGCTTTGCTTGCAAAGCGCTCATACGTCATGTACGACTCACTTTTTTTGTTGAGTGTAAATAAATATCTATAAATTGCATTATTTTAAAACGCTTTCTAGTTGGTGCTTTTAACAACTAATTTTCATAATTATGAAATGAAGTTCTTTTGAAGTTAAGGAATGCCTAGTCGCACTATCAATAAGAACGAGTGTCTTCGTGATAAGTCAAATGTGGGTGACTGATTACAGCAGAATTGCAAGGATCAAAAGGTTGAAGATTTTATAAGGAAAGTCTATTCAAATTTTATTAATACAAGAATTGTAATAATACAAATTGTTGCCTACATTTAGGCGTGTTTAAAAGTATCTTAGTAAAGACAAACACCTTGTTCTTTGTTGCTAATAAAAAAAGTTTATACTTTTCAACACAAAAAATTTGTTTTGTCGAACTCTACTATTAATAAAATTATGAAGACAATGCTTTCCTGTAGAAAGGAAACAAGTCGTATGTTTGGCTGAATATTTCGTGAACTTTTGCGAATACTGTTCAACTGCCAGCACTTGCGCAGTCGCGGAAGGTTCTTCTGACCCAATAAAATTCGCACGAAGTCTAGCGAGCTCTCCACATGCGGCCTACTTCTAGTTTTAAGGTTCTCAAATACCTTGGATCTCACACTATTAACCATACAGGAGAACTAGATTTGATCCGATCTCAGCGATCGGTCATAGAACCGAACCTAGCCTACCCTGTCTTCGTGCATTTGGGCGCTATATCTATGGACTTCGCTCGAGCTCAGCAACCGTTGGTCTGCAACCAACACTTGTGGAGTTGCGAAAGACTTTTGGCCCAGCGTGGAACATAGAAGTTTCATTGAGATGCTGGCTCATAGCAAGACTCACATCGCCGCAGAGATAAGCGCCTCACTGAATAATATCCCATGGGCACACACGCCGTGAGGCTAAAGATTTTTGAGGATGCAAGTTGCAAAGAGTAAGGGGAGATGGAAACTTTCTACTCCAGTACCCAACTTTCGACAGCTTTTTGCCTTGAAAGCTTTCAAAAGCTCTTTTTGTTAAAGTTCATATTTCACTAAAAATCTCTGATTTTTTATCGCCTTGAGTAAATAATATTGCATCTCGCTCTTAAAATCCATAGACAGCTTTTAGACGCGAAAAAGAAAAAAAATTTTTTTTTAATATTCTAGAGCTCCCTTACACATTAAGCTGTTATAGGAGAACAACGTCGTCATTTTCCTAATCTAGGTCACTGTCAAAGAGTTTGTTATTTCAAATACGCTGAATTACACTCAGCAAAGCAAATTGTATATTTAATAAATTCTCGTTACGCTGCAGATTCACTACAACCTTGTGGCGCTATTGACTCTGACATATATTTTCATAATGTTAATGAAAAATCGCAACAAGTAACAATTCGTTGGCTGCAAAAACAAAATTCTTTTATCATACACACGCACATACAAAGGCGCGCACACACTCTAATGAAGTGCCCGATTGCAAATGAGTGCCCAAGACTGTAGCCGGTACTCGTGTGTGTTTGTTTACGTGTAACTCTTGGGGCACTCAAATGCGGTAACACACCTAGGAGTGCATAGAAAAACAGCAATTACAACAACAAAGCAAACATAGATATATAAATCAAAACAGGCAGGCAAACAATTAAGAGATTTATGCACTCGTTTATATATTTACAAGTGTGTGTATGTGTGCACTATAAGTCGGTAATATTTCTATAAAATAATCACTGTCAATTTCATTACGATTCAATCACACACTTCACGCAATCAAAACAAACAGCAAAATCGTTATTAAATATAGCTGAGTTTTGTGTGGAAATAATGCATTTAAAAGCGTAAACAATTATGTAAGCGAGTGCATAAGCATCAGCGCTTAGAAGAGTGATAGATAAATTCAGCTGAAACTGAACTTTGATCGATGATGAAAGAAAAACGCGAAATTTTCGAAGCGTTGTTAAACCTTTTAACGAAAGTTTTATTTTTGTATAATTTTTGTTGTAAATTGTTTGCGGTATCTATGCGCTACATGATTTGCTTGCCATACTTGCTGCTGTCAATTGCATAAGAGTAGAGAAATTCACTCTCTAAAGGCATATAATGATCTATGGTGTCATCGTGAGCTATTGTTGTTGTTTTCATAACATGATATACTCCTTAAATGGTTTCGGCGTAAGTTGCTGATTCGTAGTTCTTGGTCGGTACAACGCCTGTCTCATTCCGGTTACATAGACACAATTGTCGTGTCAGCGCCTTTACTAGAAGACACACTTTTTATAATAAGTTCAAGTCGAAGCTTTATTTAAACCAGTTTTAGGTTACATAGCAGTATAAAGATCTCCCCTCTTTTTAAACATTCGGCTCAGTACAATGCGGTATATAAGAGTACACATACAGATATTAACAATAACGGTATTTCGAGAGATCACGACAGTTTAGTGCCGTTAAAATTTCGAAAAGCCTTTGACAGAAAGTACATTACTGTGTGACGTCCTAAACGAGTGAGGAATAAGCGATTGTTTACAACTACTTTAAATATTTTTGATTTCGTTTTGTTTAAACTGTAGCCTGTCTAGAGCTTGTCGCTATCATCCTTTATATGTAAAAATCATTTTTAATCCCTAATATCTAACTATCTAGAAATATATACAGTAACCTTTCTATGTCACCCTTAAAAACTTTTATCTTAAATAATAATCAGTAGAATTGAACCCCATGTGTATTCGCATTTTATTCTCATAACAAAAAGCAAAACAAAATACACAACAAACACTCGCTTTGCAGTTCATAAATTTCGCCACACTTCCGCGCGCACCACTTGAAGAACGGCGGTAGAAATTTACAAAAATAAATATGTTTTTTTCTAGAGCTATGTACTCACATGTGTGCTCATTTCTCTCTCCAGTAGTTTGACAACGGCATTGTCTTTTTTCATGCAACTTCCTTGCCATAAAAGTTTTTAGTAGAATATAAATAACTTACAAATGTTTACAATAACTGAGCGTAGTGAATGTGCTCTTGTCTTGTTGTTTTTATTCAGCTTTATTGTTCTTGTTATTTTTGTAAGAATTTGGAGCAAGTTTGTATGTGCCTTAAGCGCAACAGAGCTGCACTAAGCAAAGGGCTTGTGATATGGTTAAAGAAATGTGCTGCGCATGCGCAACCATTTTCTTGATATTCTTAAATGAACGGAAGTGTTGGTGGCGGAATTTGTCTGTGCTGTCAGTGCTCTTTAATTGTTATGTAAACAAGAACAAGTGCACATAAATTGTGGGAAAGCAGGAAATGTAGCATAAAATTATTGAAAAGCAGAGAGGTTGCACGCAGAACATGTAAGAAAAAAACGAATAAAGTAGAAAAACCTGGGACAAGCAAATAATGTAAATTAGAACATTTAGCACACTTAGTATTTCATTTTGGTATATATTTGTAAATATGTAAACTGACACTGCATACTATTTTGTGTGTAACCCTCGTAACTCGAATTTATTTAAATATTTTGACAAGCACGTGTTTTGACAGCTCATTTCAAATCCAGTTCAAAGTGACTTTGTTAGTGCGCCATGTGCGCTGAAGCGTTTGCGCGTGCGCGTACTCGTAGCAAAGTGTAGGTGACGTGAAGAGCAGCTCGCGTGCGAAAAAAATACTCAAAATATTTATAAAATAAAAATGTAAATATAATTAGAAACACATTAAGTTATGAGAGCACTTGAGCTGTAGCAGATTTGAGTTTAGACAGTTTTACAAAATATTTTAGAGCTCCAGAAATAGATTACAAAAACATAATAGAAAAAAGACAATTAGCAGTTTTTTAAACTAGCTATTTGCTAGCTACTAGAGCTCTTGTTGCTTCTCTTCATTTTTATAGAAAACTGTTCTCTTGAATAACTCAATCCGAATCAAAAAACTAGAGGTTTCTAAATATCTCCGAAACGAGCTGCCATAGATCGCTTCTTTGTCTATGAAGTTTCACTAAACGCCAGTCTAACGAGTACTGGCACACATTGATCGTATTTTCTAATATAATCAAGTTTTAAACTTCAATATACATATATAATAGATAGTTAACAAATTCGGCTTCACTAATTTCTTGAAATTATTCCTCTCTTTGCTTGCAGAAAGAACTGCGCGACACCTGCTACTTCAACGAAACCATCGTACACGGTTATTTCGTGTTTCGTTCCGTAGTCGATCTGCAGCGACGTGTCGGCTTCACGCACCGAGGTAAGGCGGTCGGGCCGAAGAAGAATGTCAACGACGCCTGTTATCTGTTCACGAAGATACAGGCCGATCAGTTTTTCCATCAGCACACCGATTATTTTGCACCGAAATCGAAGAGCACCAAAATCATCAGCGGCATTGGCGCCGCACCGCAAACAACCACAGCCACACACACAACATCAGGAGCCTCGGCGCGTTTGTCGTCACAGCGAACAGCGCTCTCAGCCGCCGCTACAACGGCGACTGTCACGGCAACGGCGGCGCAACGCAATTACAACAGCAACAACAGGCTATTGCGTACCAACAACAAGAATAAGCGAGTGAATGGCGGGCGCAGCAGCAATAGCAACAACAATAGGAACAGTAACAATAACCAAAATGAAGAGTACACTAATGGCCATAGTAGCAATTTAAGCAGCAGCAGCAACAATAATAACAACAGCAATCAGAGCAGTAATAATAACCACAATAACAGCAGTAATTTAGTTAGCAATAGTCAGCAGCAAGTAGATTTAAGTCAGCAAAAGCAACACCACAACAGTAATGGCCGCACGCGCGAACACGTGCGTCAGCAACAGCAACAACAGCAGCATCAAGTGCGGCATCATCACAACGATCCTAATTTGATAGCACGTCGCCAGCACCACGAGCACAAACAGAAACGGCGACAACATCAGCGACAGCAGCAGCGACTGCGCAGCGGCAAATTAACTAGTCCAGCAACAACAACGGTAGCGCAAGAACGCGCCTCAGCGACAACAACAACGAAAGCAGTTTATAGCACGACAGCAACAGGCGCAGCAGCGCGCAGCAGCAGTCAGCATGACAAAGGCGCGCAACATGAACCGCAACCGGCGACTGTTGCCAATGTCGCGGCTAAAGCTGCAACGGCAACTGCAATAATTATGAAGTCAACTACAACTATTGCCAATAAGCGCAAGGGCCGACGAAGAAAGGGGCGTAAGCAACGAAAGCAGCAACAACAACAGCGCGCACAGCAACAAATGTTGCCGCTTATAGCGCGTGTACCCACAAAGGCCGCCGACACACCAACGCAAACCACATGGCTGTGGAGCGATTCGCCTACGCCACCGCTCTCCTCGCTGTCAACGCAAATGCTAGCCGATGTGCCGAGCAGCATATCTCCTGCCACAACATTTGGCGACTACAGCGGCGAATGGCAGTCCTCTGTGACAACACACGTCGACGCGACGTCCGTAGATACCGCAGCGCCTTCATCTTTCACAACAACTCTGTCGTCGCTGGCATGGGGCACACCTACACAAATATACTTGGACTCAACGACCGACCTGAGCGATGGCGCGTCGTCGCTCACGCCAACAAGCGATTACAACAACAACACCGATTTCTCGATCGAAGAGTCGCTGAACGCTACGTTTGTTACTGAAATCGATGATAGCAGCATGACGCCGGAGTCTACAATGGACGTAGACGAACAATTAAGCAGTATTACTTCCCAACAACAACACTTTACAACAAAAAATGTGGCAACACCAGTCTCAACAGCGGAAACCATCAGGCCTACATCAACCACGTGGTCAGAGAGTAGTGAACAGAATTGGTCATCAACCACACCAACTAATGACACTGATGACGTTGAAACAGTGTTCCCCTCCCCCACAGCAATAGTCGATACTGAAACCGTTGCAGCCACAGCAATTTTCTCAGAGGATGTCAATGCGACAGAGGAGACGCAAACTGTTTCTGAGGACGCAGATTTATTTGCAACAATCAACTCTACCTCCAGTGAAATTGAAGCGGAAAGTAGCAGCAACACCTATCACGACGATGGCATCACCGAAGCACTGGCAGAAGTTGGTGGCACACAGAGTACAACAACTGCACACCAAAAAGTGTATGACTTACCGGCTGAGCGTGGCAATATCGGCCACATGTGGAAAAAGCAGTCCGGCATCGCTGCAAGCATAGCCACACTGCTGCACCAACAATTGCTGGCAACTAGTGCCAGCAACGGCAACGTATACGCTTGGCGGCCGGAGCGTGGTGAAGAATACTCAGATGAAATAATCGTGGCTACCGGACGACCAGTCGCCGCAGAGCTCGACACGTCAACCGATATTGCTTCAGGCGATCGTGCAACATGGTGGCAACATCATATGAATCACAGCGGTACGAACTTTTGGGACAAAGGCATTGGTGATGAGGTGCCGAGCAGCGACGACGATGCCGATTTAGACTGGCTGAAGCACATCACCAAACAACGAAATTCAAGCAAGCGCAGACATAACCACCGCAAAACCAACAACAACAGCAGCAAAGATGTTGAGGCCGTGTCCCAGCAACCTTTGCAAGCGTTGTTGACGAGCGATTCTAGCCTTAGTTTTAGCAAAAAATATGTGGCGGAAGGAAAATTACAACGACAAAGCAGCAAAGCGCTTAGCGGAAGCAATAAATTGCTAGCAGCAACAACAACAGCGCACGAGTACAGCAGCACAATGGCAACATCGCGCACCAACAGTGCAACAACACATACCGAAGGTGTTATTAATCCCACAACTACAACCACAACAATGAATAATAAAGCATTGGCAACAACAACGACAACACAACACCTTTACCCACTTCAGCAATTGCTTGGCAACAAAACGATTTTGCCGCTATATAATCCACCGTCGTTGGTGCATTTTGATGGCAATAGCAATCACTTGGCGCACACACATACACCCACAGCAAGCACGCTTATCACATCCACTTCCGCCGCTGCACCAACTTCAACGACTGTAACCGGTGACGCGACAACCGTCGTCGCTCCGTTAACCACCAAAAAGTCGATACGCATCTCAACGCAAAAGTTGCTGGCCACGCCCTTCCATCAGCTAACCTATGTGCGCAACAACGCCGGCGACATTGATATCGACAACATTGACAACATCAGCGTCTATCCGGATCTGCTGGAGGAATCTGGCGAACTGGCGGAACAGCGCTCGACGGAGCGCGCGGAAACCGACGCAACACGCAATAGTAGGCTGACAATCGTTAGCGGTTATCTGCCCACTTCGGCGACAGCGACGCTACCCGAGTCGATACGACTTGCTAAGGTGAAGATAAATAAAGAAAGAAAGCGTATGATGAGCCTAAGAAAAAGGCATAGCAGGCGACACGCGTAGTCGTGATTTGAGAAAAATCTAATGAGAATTTAGAAATGGTTATTTCTGAAATGCTTCAACTTAACCAAAAGCTTTCGAAGTAGCGCTTTAAAAACCAAAAATGCCTAACACTCTAAAAGCTTTGCAAAATTTCTCGCCAGGTACACGGCGCAACCCAATATCATTTTTAATTGACTGTAAAAGCACAAAACATGTAAGCTTTTTAGTAAAGCTTTTCAAAATTTTTCACCAAAGTATTGGAATTTCTAAAAATTTCACAGTGAAGTCATAGTCATGTGGTGTAAAAAATTTGCAAATTTTTCCAAAACGCTTATTTTACATTAGCAAACCGAAGCAGGCAGTGAAAGCTTAAAACGATATATGAAAGCTTATAAACAAAAGCTTGTGCTTGTACAGCTTTCTCATAATAAAAAGCAGGCTTGTTTGTGCGCTCATCAGCAATGAAGCAAAAACAATTTAATCTTAAAAATAGTTGCGGTTTAAGATTTGTACTGAAATATAAATTGAGCAAAAATAACTCAGAACTTACTAACATATTGTATTGTGTTGCATAACTATTATATCTTATAGATATTAGAAATACACAGTTTTTTAGCGAAATTGGTAGACACAGCGTTGACATACGAATAAATTTAATATTTCACAGCGAAAAAACCACAAATTCACCAAACACCGAACACGAAGCAGAGCCGAATTCATGCAAACACGACTTGCACGACCGCTGCGTACACTCATACGAAAAAATGCACGTTTTTGAACACCGCAAACAATTTCGTACGCATTACTGTGTTGCATAACATAGCGAATGACCGTTGATAACTCTAAACACTGAATAGTTAAATAGACAATGTTTAATGCATATTTTGTTGCAGATAATTAAAAACAAATGAGACAATAAACAGCTGGCATATGTAGTTTATGGTTAAAAAAAAAGAGGTAACGAAGCAAAGTGAAGCAGATGACGCCAGTACAGATGTGAAGGCTCGAAAAAATACATATAGATGCAAAATTCTACTTTTGAAAATAAACAAAAAAAAATAAGCAAATAAATAAATCGTAGAGCAAACAATTTTTGACAGAAATTATTATTAAAGCGTTAAATGTGCTTTTTGATATGTGCAGAAAGATAACTATACGTATATAAGTGAATAAATATAGTAACAGAAGAATTAGTATCTAATAAATGTTTGAAATTTGCACGATTGAGCCTTGGCGAAGCGAAACAAAAATTAATCAAAATATATAAAACTAAACTACAGCAAAAAAAAGCAGTAATTTCAACTGAGAAACGAACGTTTTATCAACTAAATCGCACACAGTAACACTTCCAAACCAAAATAACAAGAAAAATATATATACAAAAGAGCATAGAAAAACAATTTCAAAAATAAAATATAAAAATCATATTCAATTATTTGCAAATTTAACTCTACCAAAATTGTGAAATATACCTTTGCGAAAACGGTAAATGCTTGGGTTAAAATATAAAAGCCTAAATTTACTAAGCGAGCATTATTTATTTGAAAACAGTGGTAAAATATACAAGAATTGAAGCTAAAAATGCAAAAAAAAAAAAAACAACAGAAAAATTATAGTACGAAGCAGATTTTCCTATAATTACAACAATAATTAACCACAGCAAAGATATATTAAACATTTTGCATTAAACAAAAAAGCAGAATAAAGAATTTAGACTTTTGCAAGCATACTAGGCGAAAAATTATATACAATTAAAAACAATTTAACATAAAAAACAAACACTTAAGGGAACTATTTATTAAAGGCGAATTATAGCAACTACTTAATTAGAAGAATAAATTTATTAAAAAATTAATATTAACGGCATAGTATTGCAGAAAAAACTGCTAAAACTACGAACGTGTGCAAGCGCCAAAATACTTTGGATTAAAAAAGCCACTGAAGCAGGAAACTGCTTAATATTAAAAAAATTTTGAACATTTTAGTTTGTTTACATATTTAGTGTTTTTGTATTTGGTATGAAGCACAAAAAATATGCAGAGCGAACACACAAGCAAAATGATGTTGTAAAGAGCAAGACTATGCGTTGATTTGCCAGGCTAACACAGTGCGCCTGACTAACTAATACTAGCAAACGTAGTGCACAAAGCAAAAAAAGAGCAATGCTGCACGCAGATTGATTGATTTATAAGTTAACGCTCTTGGCTTGGTTTGTGTGGCATAAATCGGCACTACGCTTGTTTGACACTATTAAGGAAATATAACTGCAAACTCAGAGCAATGCCTGCAAATATACCTATATTTTCTACATTATTTCGAAATTAAATTAATTTTTAATAGACCGTTAAACAAATATTTAACACGAACTTCAATAAATGAAGTACCAACAACAAAATATAACAACACATTTAAAGAAAGAAAAAATATTACAAAGTTAAAAAAAATGTTATCAAAACAAATTTGTTGCTCGAATAATTATTAACACATACATATATAACAGCAAAAGAAGTGTGTATTATTTATAACCGAATTGAAAACAAAACTAACCGAAATCCTAAAGTAACAAAAGAGAGCTGTTTCATGACTTCAAACCACAGAACCTGAGGAATATATATAATAATGAAGACTTAACCAAACGAGAAATGGAATGTTGAGAAAAACTACTTTATAGTTAATAAAATAATTTCCATTTCCATAAAAAATGTAAACTTAAAATTAAGCCTAAACGTAAAAAAGCGCATGCATTTGTATAGACGAGCGTACGGTATAATGAAATTAATTAGTACATAATTAAATATGGTTACGAATATGTCATAACACGTGTACTTGAAGCTGCTATGGCGAAAATGTAGGAAATGCATATTCTTGAAAAATATATAAAATACTAAAACTCAAGAGCAGTGCTTAAGCACACTGAAGCACAGTTTTAAAGCCAAGCGGGTAAATAAGATCAAATAAAAAACAAACAAATAGGCAGCAACTAAAATATAATACATTGTAAAAATAGTGCTTAGCTTTATTTTTAGTTTTAATTTTAATTTACACAAATTTTTTTAATTTTTTTTTTTTTAACTTAGACTCGTTTTGTTAGCTTTACTGTTAATGTAATGCATAAAAATAGTATATGACCCCTTTTTTTGTATTGTATTAAATATATTTTTCACTTAACCCAAAATATAATAGGTATTTAAACTAGATGAGAATCTAAACAATAAGCAAAGTAAAATATGCCGAAAATACGAAAAAAATATTCATTCACACACACTTCAGTTAACTACTAATTGCATAAGGCTTAGACATTTATAGGAATAAATATGTATGTAGAGTATTAAAATGAATGGAAAACAATAGAAGTGTAATGCAGAAGGTACTATAAGTAATTAACAAATGAGTAATTGAATTAAATATGCTGGTTATAAATATTGTAGCATACAAGTGAAGTGAAATCTAACGACTAAACAATAAAAAAACAAAAAACAGAAAACCGAAAACAAAACGAAAATGTTTTAAACGCCAATATTTGTAAATTAATTTTGCTGCCTCAAAATATATAAATATGTATGTATTTAACACATAATTAACTATTATCTATACACTAACAGCTACCTAAACTTTACATTATTTAAATTAACTATGCATATGTTGCGCACACAACTGCATATGTCGCAATAATTTAGTAATCCTATTTTTTTATTATTTTTCCAACAACTTTAAGTCTAACTAACGCTTTGCAGTTTATTCTACACACACACACACTCTTACATACTACGCTCTATTCGAAAACCTACAACACTACAACTTTTCACTTGCGCTTTCACAACGCATAAGCTTTTACTGAAGCTTTCACTCATATACAACGGCATACAAATTCACTTTGTAGATAATTTTCCTTAGTTTTTAAATAAAATAAATTACTACTACTATTGTACTAATTTTGTTTAGTTCAACTATTAATTAATTTATATATAATTTGTTTTATTTTAAATGTATAATTAATGAATAATTATTTATGTGTAGAAAAGAAAGCGCCGCAACTGCTAAATAAAATCAAATATATATAAAATACTAATGGAAAGACTTTTTATTAATTTTCCGAGTCGCACATTTTTATTTTATTTATTTAAATTAAAAATTTAATGCCACAATTACTTTTTCAGCTTATAAAAATTTGCGTTTAAATCTTTAATCACACTAATGTTACAAAACCAACGCATTCTTACACAATAAATCTAAAATTGCAATAACAATTACTGCATAACGAACAACTAAGAAAAAATTGATATTTACTCAAATGAAGAAATGCGTTCAGCAAACCCTATTAATTCGCAAGTAATTATAATAAAAATATAAAAAGGTATTTAATGAAACGAATTCTTAGTTACTACGTTAATTTTCAAGGGCATAAGAATTTATGAAAAACGTAAAATAATTGAAAAGTGAAAAACTGGAAGAGATAACTGCGTATAAATAAATTTAATATTGAAAAATATTAACAAAAAATAAATTGCTGTTTTATTTTCTAAGGGGCTTAAGGGCGCCAGACCATGACTAGCATGCATAAAATACCGAAAAGCGCAAGAAATGCACGATTAAGTCTAAAACTTTGCGTAGTATATAATATTCTTAAATAAACTTACGCTCTTCTAGTAAAGTCCAGAGATAATCCACAATTTTTTAATCAACATCGTATGCCACATTAAACTCGCTCTGTTTTATTAAGCTCATCAAGCTTAAACCCCACTTTGAAGCAGTCTACATATCTTTGACCTAATTTGCCTACTCAGCTTTATTGCTATTTACCGAAGATGCTATTTTACGAATTACTTAGTTGCGTGTCCGCCATTGCCAACCTGCACTTGCAACTAGACATTCATGCAACTAGCATACTATTACAATCAGTTGGTTGCGCATGAGCGCTTAAATGGACGCGTCATTAAATCAAAGATGCACAAAAGTTGAAGTCATAATTTTATTGCCATGCTCAGTGCCAGTGTTTGTGCACTAGCTGAGGCATAAAAAATATACAACGAACAAAAAATTGCTTGTACCAAAGCTGACAACCAATGCCGGGTCGCGTTGCGCTTCACTTTTCCACAATCGAGAAAAAAATACTACGCAAACGCTCTGCGCGCGCTTACATTTTTATATCGCTTTTAACTCGTTAACGAGATTGTGGCGATAACTGCGTGAAAACCGAAATTAAATGAGAGAGAATGTGATCATTTTTCATGAGACGGCGCTAAAGGATAGAAAGTATAATTCCTTTAATATTACTTATGACTGACAGCGTAATGGTTTGAAGAATCCTAGAGCATATTCATTTTGATTGACTTTGCAATCGACTACGCAGTTTTTCCAAGCTCACAGCAGCCGGCACATAAATTTTGTATTTTCTTAAAATTTTGTCACAAACTTGAGTTTATTGCTCACTTTATTGTTTAGCATTAAGCACAACTCTCACATAAAAAGTGAAATATTCAAGAACTCAACTCAAGCACTTTTAGGGTAGATTATACAAAACTATAACAAAAGCTGAAGTCAGTGGTGAAATGACTCTGACCCATAAACTCTTTTTTTTTTTAAATTTCGTCACAAACTCGAGTTTAGTGCACATTTAAACACTCACATATAGAGTTTAATATTCAAAAGCTCATTTCAAGCACTTCTTATTGAAAATGGGATATAGCATACAACACTATAACAAAACCACACAGCATTAATAAATACATTTCAACTCGAGTTATTGGCGCAAGTGGTACTGTTTTAATTCCAACTGGAACAGCACATTAGTGGTCTATGGAATCAGCCAAGCTCTCCTCCTTCGACGAGATTGTTTTGAATGTCAACAGCGATGTGAGATAGAAGGCTACTTTGATAAAATGTACGCTCAATTGAGCTCAATTTTAATAATGATTGAAATATGGACTATGGAAGAGGCAATTTAATATAGATCAAGAAATAGTTGTTACAGATAAATTCTCATGCTGAAAGGCGCTTAAATCTGTTCGGCGTGTGTAAAATTCGCAAATCATTCTAATGTTTAGGAACTCATCGACCTAACCTCGTACTACATTATTTTTGCGTGAATTGCGTTTAAGCGCCAACACATTTTGGCTTTCAAGATTTCGAATGTTGCAGATGCGTTTCAACGGCACAACCAACGCGTAGCTTGAAACGCTGGCAACAAACAAACAACGCAGGTGTTTATGTCTTTACCACTGTGATTTCTTTTTATACAAATACTTTATGACTGTTTGCTGCTTTTTGATGCTAAAATTCAAGCAAGTTTGCATCAAATTGTTCGAATTTTGATAAATCCCTGTGGCAACATGTGGTCGGCGTTTCGCTTGTTTTATGCGTACCAGATAAGCGCATCGACAACTCGACAAATGATAGTTTATTAGACGGTATTTGCTATGCGCGAAAAGTTTCGTTTTTCAAAAGCCTGTGAATTCCGAGTATATGTAGTAAATAAAAACACCAAAACGCTATACAAAAATCCAACCGACGCTGATGCGCCCACCCCGCTTGCCAATCAGCGCACGCATTAGCGAGTTTTTAATCGCCGTTGCCACAGACGTTGCAGCAGCGCCTCGAAA